AATCCATGGCTGGTGGGGCTCCAGCCAGGCCATCCCGATGATGCCAGGCCATCCCGATGATGAGATCCCATCTCTCATCCAGGTCGATAACATAGAACGGTTCGACCGAGTCGAAACCGTCGAAGGTGATGGGAATGTCGACGATTATGCGCGGTTGAGACGCAGTGTGGTCGTCGGCCATCTTGACGCAAACCCTGTCGGAAGGATCCGAAGAGGGTAAGCGGTTGTAGCGAGAGAGAGTGGAGCGGCTGGCGTAGTTGTTCGACGCCCCACAATCGATTAAAGCAGAGACCCTGGCCGGTAAGCCAGGCACGACAAGTTCCAAACGAATCATTTTGTTGGGTTGGAGCCAAGGTCTGTGTCCGAGGCTAGATCCTGAGAGTGTGTCAGCGCGCCACACACCTCCAAAGGACCTAGGGTGTCCCCAGTCGCCTCGCGTCTACTGGGAGCGACCGTTTCCCGCCGCACTCGAACCTGGAGCGGGGCGGAAAGGCGGGCGTGAGGCGCCATGCGTTCGTGATTAAAGCAGTCAGGTGGACCGCTCGGAGCGCCCGTGCGAAGACATTTCGTTCATGATTAAAGCAGTTAGGTGGACCGCTCGGAGCGCCCGTGCGAAGACATTTGAGTGACTTGTTCTTCCAATGTCTTCTGGGCGGCCGTAGCTTCGGCGACCGAGAGATCGATCGTGCTACCGATGCCTTCCACAAGGCGTGTTTGGTTATCGCGAGTCATCCCGCCAAGGAGTAGCGCGGTATCGTTGTCGCCAAAACCGCGACGCAAAAGAGCGAGGACCGCCTGGTAGACTGTGGTGTTGGTGGAGGACATAGTGTTGGTCGACTGGACGAACGTGGAGTGCTACCAAGTGTGGGCGTATGAAGACGCAGGAGATGGGAGGATTGATAGCGTTAAGACTACTACGCTATCACTAAGCTACGCGCAACCAACCATTGATGTATCGTCGGGAGAACACCTTGGTTGCGCACGAGGACATGTTGGTCTGCGAAAGGACACCTTGGACTGAATAGGTGTCGACTAGTCATCCGGTTGGAAACCGGATGATGGGCACGGTTACAGTAGTGCCGGTAAGACGACGATTCCGCACCGTGATGGAACTACGGAAGCCACTAAACTGCGATCACGTAGGTTGCGGGAGACACTCGTTAGAATCGCTCGGTATAGGATATTGATGATGGTGGGCATCATAGTGGTTATCTAAGGTTACAATACCATTGCCACACCCCACTGCCGGCCACCGCGGCCACACTACAATGTCCTCCATCATGGACGCACACCAGCACTCCACTATCCACCACCGCCGCCAAGTGCAGCAGTGATCGTTCTGCGACCTGGGGCGACGGTGGCGGATGGTGGAGTGGTGTGGCCGCAGCGGTGGACAGTGAGGTGCCTTAATGATGGTGGACGGCCACTGTGATCTCCACCGATGCACACACTCTATGCGGAGAAAAGGATGCGTTTGCAATCGTCAAGTCGTGCAAACGACTGGAGTACCTGCTGCGCTATATTACGATGTCCTCATCCGTCGCTATACTCCACAACCCGCTGCCGTCGAGTACACTACTGGCGGTGGTCAGTAGTGTGTAGTGGTTGTCGTCCATTATGGCGCTGCACTTCCTTTTCCGTAGGTCCACACCACACCATTTTCTCCGTCCACCAACTTCGTTGCAATCCACCACCTCCCACCCGCCGAGTGCGAGGTGGCGGGCCGTGGAGTGCAGCGAAGATGGTGGACGGAGGTGTGTTGTAGAGGACTCCTTTATCGTCGATGCACTATACTCTCCTCGCAGCCCCTGCAGTGTATTGTGATATGCTCTTCCGACACTCCACTGTCTGCTGCGACCAAGTGCAGCACTGGCTGTCCTTCCGTGTCTTTGTCCATTGCACGTACAATTACTAAAACAACGTGTTTTATTTCACCCAATGACAGAACCTTCGATTTGCTTCGTTTTAGAGAAAATGCAACCTTGCTTTATATAAAACAAGCTGCTAAAACCACTGCAGAAATGTTGAAAAGCACATAAAATCAATTTAAGACACATGACTCAATTTATGATCTTTTCAAGAACCAATCAAACGGCGCAAAAACATTTGAAGAAAACCTTTGCAACTAAATATCCTCTTCATGTCTATCCGGAAAAGGGTAGAATACGTCTATAATCGAATACCCTAAACACAAAATTTGTAAGTAAATAATCATACTTTGATCAAGGTAGAAACATCCCCATCGGCTGATTTAAACATAGAGCTGAAAAGACCCGTTTATTCGGTGCATGCTGCAACAGTAGTACATCAGCTCACAGCCAATCCACACCAGTTTGCGGAAATTGTTTTCCTGATGGAGCAAACTCGCGTTGGCGATTGAGGTTTCGGAGCTCTGGTCAGTCGAGAATTTAGTTCAGCAGGGTTGGCATACATTATATTGTCTGTAAGATTCATATTAATGGTGCCGGCGTGCTTCAGGACGTCCGGATGGCATGCTTTGTTGACGAAGTCATTTGGGACCTCAATCGCGTAGAACTGTAAACAACCCAACAGAACTGTTGAGAAGTCTGAGTTTATGGAGCGTTTACATTATGATGTAAAATTTATTGGCAACTGGTGTGGGTCTGAAAAATGTAATTTTTGCTGATGTAGTGATGTACTTTGAAGATTTTTACATTTCTACATCAGCCGGTGGGGATACTCTAAATTGATTCTCATTTCTGATGTAGTGATGTACTTTGAAGATTTTTACATTTCTACATCAGCCGGTGGGGATACTCTAAATTGATTCTCATTTTAGAAAAAGTAAGGAGAAATAGGTAATTTTGTATACAGCGCAAGGTGAACCACCATGCGAATTCCATACATTTCTAGAATTTTCTGAAATTGTACAGTTTCAATTAAATATATCTTCAAGTTTGTATTCTTGACTTTTATTTTTCATGTGTCTGTCTGTTTTTGGAATTCGCAAGGTGACCTGCCTTGCGAATTCAAAATTGTCCAATATTTTTCTAATCAGATGTCGTGAAATCACGTAGATTCATCACGCCCTGTTGCGATACATTCTACTCTTGCGATGGCGGTTGATGAAAGGAACATAAAGATAATTATGTAGGCTGTGTGTGAGCGCAATATCATGCGATGTGGTATTCAGGACTCGGTCAACTCTAACAGTTCTCACAACACCACTTGCATCCTAACCCAATGAATGCGGTCATCCCTGTTTTCGCTCCTGTAGTTATCCGGAGATGAATCTCTTGCGGAGGCTGAATTAAATTGCAAACTGAGGTCTCTTACTACGAATTACTTTCTCTGGTCTATTTGAAGTCTAATCATTGTCCAATGAAAATGCGCCAGTAATGCAACTCTTTCAACCGCACGACAATGACGTACAACCGCACGACGAATGGCGGCCTGCTGCACATAATGGAGACTAACCGCCTTACCGATCATGAGACCATGAGCCGATCTCTAAAAAGGGTCATAGGTCTTTCTGCAGCGCCATGCAGAACACTTCCCCATAAACGGGGTGTCCGAGGGTCTTCTCGAGTTCCGCGGCCATTTTTCTTCACTTGTTCTTGGACTTCGTGTTGGTGAAACCAGCGGCGGAAAACGATGGGAATGTCTTCATAGGTGAGCGCACGGGCCCTCGTCTTAATCGAGGCCAAGCCAGTTGACGAGGGCTTGGTATTCGCCGTTTTCTTCGCGGACGTCGCCGAGCTTGGCCACGTGGAACACTTCATTTCCAAATGCAATATGGTCGGCTAGGTCTTCGGTCACATCGTGACCGCCTTCACAATACATCTTGAGTCGGCAGGCGTGGTCGAGGGACAAGTCGTAAGGCTGTACCAACTGCTGGGTCTCTATGGCTTAGTCTGTCACGGCCCGGACGATCAACTTCTTGCCTTAACGGGACACTGCCAACGAGGACAATGTCGACAATCGCAAACTTCTGCAACTGGACGGCCTTGGACTTGGCTTGGCGGTCGCGGGCTTAGCGTCGCTTCTTGGCGCTCGCCGTAGCCACTTCGCGGTGCAGCTGTTCCATCGCTTCAGGCAGCTCTTCCATGTGCTTCTTACGCGTGGAGTCGAGCCAGTCGATGTCGGTGACTTCCTTGATGACGGTGTTGTCAAACGCAAACATGGGTGTCGTCGCAGGTAGGCCAGTAAAGGGGTCACCGAAGCCATGCCGCTTTCTCGGTCGCTTGGCATGTGGTTCAAGGCGCCTTGTACGAGGGCCAGGACGAGGTGCCAGTCGGTCGCGCGCAGCTTCAACTCGCTGGTAAACGTATTGATCGCGCGGAGGATCAGTCGGGTGACTACTTCAACGTTTCCATTCGCCCAAGGACAGTAGGCGGTCGTGAAGTGGTGGTGGGCGCCGGCGGCCTTGCGGATCTTGTCGATGACTTCGTTCTTGAAATGGGAGCCGCTGTCAGAGACCCAGGTATGGACATACCCAAATGTTGGAACCAGTCGAGGAGGCCGTTGGCGGTCGCCGCGGCGTCGCTTGTCTCGCTGGGCCAAGGTCGCACGAACCCGCTCATGTCGTCCTTGATGACAAGAATCTCCTGCCACCCGTTCGTCGCCGTGGGCATGTGTTAGCCATAGGCAGACAAGGATTGAAGTTACATTGATAAAACTATAAATATGAGATTGAAGCTGGAAGAGCTCCAGGTTTCACATCTCTCGACTACTTCAGTGTGTCGAGGTCCAATAGCTACCTTGTTTTTGATCCTACACACACTACTTGAAGGTTGCACATATTGAGTGATATGACAACCTTCAATCAGTGCAGCTAAGGTTGCACTACTTACATATATGCATGTCTTTGGCGATGATAATTATGGAGGTTCTAGAGCTAAGCTCACTTCTGAATCACCTTCCTTTGAGCCACTACACCTACATGTGTGTGTGTTGTGTGCCTACATCTGTTATTTCAAGTACCGACATCCCCCCAGTTTTCCCCAAGCCCCCCACCACTGTTCTTCTACTCTGTGACCATGTCCGACGCTACGACCAACGACAAGTCGGTCACGGACCTCAAGTTCAACGGGCGAAAGGTCATGTCCACCGCCTTGAAGGCCCGCATCATCGCGCACCTCAACTCCAAGTCGACGGAAGACGACTACAAGCGTATTATGGACGACAAGAAGCCGCTCAACTTGGCTCACTCTGATTGGCTGGAATTTAAGCCAATCATCAAGGACATCGATGTCGCCGCCGACATGCCGCCTTCCGCGACGGCAGCAAGCCTGGAGGCTGAGAAGATCAAGCGCTTCTATTACATAGAGCATGCAGGAGAGCCTGATCAGAAGCTTATTTGGTAAAGTGTTACCAAATGAGTTTCTGATTCAGCTCCCCGGCACGATCAACAACCCTGACCTCAACCTTTCTGACGACACGAGTATGCGCAATCGTCACACGATGTGAGCACGACCTTGTACCTAGAACTCTACCTACGAAACCATTTAAATGCGTCTCTGATTTGATCAAGAGAATGCGTTCTTTGCAGAATCAGCTTAATGAGCTGTATTCGAAAAACATTGGGGTCCCATTGATATCCGAATATCAAATATCCCAGGCAATTGTGGCGGCACTTCCCCACGAGTATTTTGGCTCTAATGTGAACCAAATTACTGACGGTTTTAAACTGTCCACCATCGAGACGCTAGTGAAGCAGGTGTTTGGCGACAAGTCTAGTGAGGCTATTGCAAACATGTCTAGCAAGTGCCCCAAACGTGAAGTGCACGTCAACCAATCTAAGGTTCACCGTAACCAAGCAAATAAGAGAAAGTCAATCCGACCAAACAGCGAATGGTTTTAACCAATCAACGGCGAGTAAGTCCGATTATCCGGACAGCCAATCAGAAAGTGACACGGAATTTGCTGGGAACATTGCAGCCCACCTGACCGATGGCGATCCCCGACATGGACGAACTCCCGGACAGCGGACCGGACAAGTGGTCCTGCCTGACCAGCATCGCGCATAGTCTCGCGGACCAGACAACACGTATGGAAGAGGAGGTAAGCCGCCTGGTACCGTATCTCCTTAAGAGGTCTAACACCATTGACACTAGTGACTGGGTGTTGGACTCCGGCTGTGGTATGCACATGACGCCGCTCTCAGGGTACTTCTGTAGTTATGTAACTAATGATGACTACGACTTTGATTTCGGACAATGGTCATGTCTGGGTAGTACTCACATAGGCACAGTACAGCTGTTCCTAATGGGAACTGATAAGGTGATACGGCGCATTACACTAAACGATACGTGCTTAGTGCCCAATGCTACGTCCAATATTATAAGCGAGAATGTGCTGAAACGCCAAGGCTACCACATAATAGATGGTCTTAGTGGCCCATACAAATTTGTATTTAAGGAGGGACATCTGATGTTCACCGATATAGCTGTGAACGGAACTATTATGCTCGTCACCACAACCTCAATTTATCACACTGCAAAGTGTACACCTGTAACACCAACAGTGCACATCTCAGCATCTCGTGCTGGGTCATTGCTTAGAGAATGGCATATAAGGACCGGTCATATGGGCCGTGAAGCTGTGATTACCATGCTAAGCAGTGGTCTTGTCAAAGGACTACCTAAGCTGCAAAGTACTATGCTCAAAAGCATCCCTTTCTTCTGTAAGGTCTGCGCTACAATGAAAATGCGTCGAATGTCCTACCGAAATGCTCGAGGTTCTCGAGAAATTGGAACTGTCCATACACAAACGGACCAATAAAAGTGAAGGGGGTCTACTCCGGTAAACTCGGCATGAAATATTAC